AAAATGGTTTTTGAAAAAAAAATAACACTATATAGTTATTGTAAAAAATGCTGCTTTTTTAAACAAATCAATTAATTTTTATTTTACATTTTTTGGTTTGCTGACTAAATAAACTGTGAGAATGTTGTTTTTGTTATAATTTTAGAAATAATTTTTAGATAATCGAAATAAATGAATTTTTATGGTTACATTTTTAGTGTAGGTATCCCTTGTGCTTTATCTTAAAGAACCAATATTTTTATAAAATAGATATTATTTTACCATGTGGAAAAATGGTTAGACGATATTGAGAAAACTTTAATTTTTTCGAAAACAGAGATTCCTAAAATTTAGTATGCCAGTATTTGGTTGGTGCCTTGATATTTTTTTATTGTTCTTTTTTGTAAAAAAAATCAAAAAAGTTGTGCCAAACAAAAACGGAGAATTTACATGTCAAACCTTGCAAAATACAAAAAATTTTCCATATAGAATGAAATTATATAAATTTTTGCCTATATTTGACCACAAAAATGTTATTATTTGAATATTACATTTATACAAATGTAAAAAAGTTGTTCATGATAATATCGCATGAATGTGTCCTTAATATTTATAAATAATTGGAATATATCCTTCAAACAATTTGTTTCCTTTTTTCCTTTTAGACTTTTGCAAAATTTCAGCTCATTATATGAGTATATTTTTTTTGTTATTATATAGATGCATTGAATCCCACGCGTATTTCTCGAATATACTGATTTCAAGATCAAGTTCTCTACATGGCTTCATTCATAAAATATTTGCGTATCCGTTATGATTTTATTATTTATATTTTCGTTTTGAATCAAAAAAATTTACTTAAAATATTTAGAAAAATATTTGGCCTTTGAGAAACAAAAATAAACAAATCGAAAGTAAAATAACAGGTTCAACTTTTGAATTTTTTTTATCCAAATCAATACAAAGACAAAAATTCAAATTTGGGTATAAAGTTATTTTAATTTTGTTTGCATTAGTTGTGCTTATATTTGCAATGGTGTGTCATAGAACAAGTGACATTTTTTTGTACTCAAATCATGAAAGTAGCTACTGAAGAAGTGTAATGTGGTTTCGGTTTTTGGTGTTTTTCCAAGCATAATTTTGTAATTTTGATTTTGCAATAAACCATACTAATGTAAACTACAATACTAAACTGTAGACTTGGATACAATAACAACTGCCGTATGCAATGACGAAAGACATGAACGTATCATAACGTCTAGCGCGTGATGCCATTCAAATAATGCAAATACAAAGCAACAAAAATAAAATTTAAAATAAAAAACAATTTCATAAAATATAAAAGCAAAAAATAAGTATCAAACATCAGTGCTCAGGTGGGTAAAGTTTAATTCACTTGGTTGACTGCCATGACGTATGAGCAACAAATAGGTTAAATGCGTTTTTATTTAAATTAAATATATATAATTGTACATAAGAAAAACGATCCCATTTGCCCATTAGTCTTCGGAGACATGTCGTCTACAGCATAGGCCGAGCTCAAATTTATATAAGTATTCAAAATGGTTTCATTGTGTCAAGCTATAAGCTCCGCTAGGCTAGTAAACTAAAATTCTTCCTTCTGCCTTCTGATCTTCATGGTGGTTCTATCTGGGGAACAAGATTTTTGGTCTATTTTTGTTATGATAAGTAGTACTCGTTTTGTTATATACATAATTTTGATACGGAGACATGTTGTTTTTTACACGATCTATGATCTGGTTTGCTAGTTATATTGTTATTAGTAACATTCATGAAATGGTATTTCATTTATCAGCTGTTCCCCATCATTTTTTATTCCAGATATAGCACATTAAATCTTCTCATTGATCTCTTGAGTATCTGTGATTTACAACCCGAAGTCCAGGAAAAGACCTTGGATAAACGAATCGGTACGCACCGCCATACGCAGCTGCCTGTATGAAACCACGTTCAAAGAAAAACTCATCCGCTTGTGCAAGATAACGTTAAGTATAACCCTCAGCTTCATATGAATTGGGGAGTCCCACTGCAAGCCCAGGTTCTAGACAAAGTTATTTGCTGTCGTGCGACTTCTTCAGCTTGAAGATTGAGAGTGTAATACGCGCTGCTGATCTGAATTATCAGTGTACCAGATAGAACAGAATAAAGATACGATGTAGTTCGGACAGAAAAGGAGTAAAAATAGGCTGGTCTGAAAGTGAAAGAGGACAAAGGAAAGTACTGTTTGGTAACAGACAAAAGGTCTCCGTGAATTGGAGCCTACGTCATTGTTGGCAATCATAACTTCTACGTTGTAAAGGACTTTGTTTATTTAGAAGCAATCATCAACACTATCAATATGAAGAGCTTAGAGACCAAACGATTAAAAAGCCTTCCAAACAGATGCTACTTTCAGCTCGTTGGGCAAATGAAAACCGACGAAACTAAAATGACATTCTATAAGTATATCGTCATGTCCGTCCTTTTGTATGGCGCATAGGCGTGAACTATCATGAAAAATTTGAAAAATGAATAAGGAGTATTCGAAAGATCTATTCCGCGTAAGAGATGGATATCGAAGAAGGTGGAACAAAAATTTGTCTGAGCTCTCTGATCACAAGAACATAGTCAAGCATGTAAAAGGACAGCGTTTGTGCGGGCTGGGAACGATACGAGTTATATCGTTGAAGATGCTGCAGTGAAATGATTATTTGACTCAGCCCTGGGATGGACAACTTGGTCCCTAACCACACGGAATAACTAAGACTAACAGTATCTATATTATTCCGATATGGAACCTCAAAATATCAAAAAAAATTCGTAAGATTTATATTTTTGCTACGATAATATCCATATCTTTTACACGAGGTGTGACAATTAAGTAATCAGACTGATTCAATAAATATATATCAAAATTATTCTACAGCTCTGCCATCCCCTTCAAAGTAGTCCCTTTGCGCAGCTGTACAACGATTCCAGCGCGATTCCCATGCTTCGTAACATTTCTGGGCCGCTTCGACTGGGATGTCCGGCAGTATCCTCGTCACGGCTGCCTGGATGTTCTCCATCGACTCAAAACGGGTTCCTTTGATCACCGATTTTATTCTAGGGATCAAAAAAAGTCACAGGGTGGCATATCGGGCGAATAAGGTAGTTGTTGCATCACGGCGGCCCCTTACGAGGCCAAATCCTGGGACACGCTGAGAGCGGTGTGGCACGGCGCGTTGTCGTGATGAAGGCTCCAGCTCCGAGCGATGTCTGGACGCACCCTGTTTGCTCGTTTTCGCAATCATTCGAGTACTTGGCGATAATACACTTGATTCACAGTCTTTGCAAGAATTTCTCTTTCAACTGGTCCGTGACACGCCTTACACGCTTTCACACCCCTCCTTAAACTCTTTATGCCATCGAAACACCTGGGCACGACTAAGAGCACTATCACCATGCACTTCTACAATCTAAGCGTAGGTTTCCGAAGCTGTTTCGCCCAATTTGGCGCAAAATTTCGTTTGATTTCGTTTTTGCATTTTCGTGACGAGAACCAAAAAAAAATTCATTTATTACGGTGGCCATGCGTTAGGAGGTTTGATTTCGGAGAACAATGAAGGTAGTGACGTCCCAATCGGCTGAAGGCAAGACACTTGCAAGGTTAATGCTCCAGTGTTTCGTCATCTTTTGTGCGTGCTCTCCACTCAACCGATTCCACTTTTCCTCGCTTGTGGAGATGATATCTCAGAGGTATTCGCTCATAGTACTGTTAAGTTTGGTCTGTTTAAAATCGAACACTGCTTCATATTTAAATGGAAGAGTAGGCGACATTTACCCAGACGGCTTACGTTTCTCAATCGCATTTTACGCCGAGTTTGAATACAAATTCTTGAATGCCACTTTGTCGTTTTTACATTATTTAGGCGGTTGGCTGTTAGCGCTGATTGATACACAGCTTGTATATTAATAAGATGAAAGTCAAGAATGACTTCTAGCGGCTTTGTTGAGGTAGTTCTCATCGCGCCTGCTATACCAAGTAGACAGGTACGTGGTACCCCAAGGTTTTAATGCAGCACTTCTTCTTTAGTTAGGCTCTTGTTCTTCAGCAGTTTGTCCAGATCCAGAGCGCTTCACTGGCTCTGCTTTCAATAAACAAGCTTTTTTTATCAAGGTTTACGCCGAGATTCTTAAAAGAGTTGGAGGGAACTATTATATTACATCTGTAAGATGGTAAGTTGAATTTAGGAACTTTCGCGTTACCACTAAATAACAGAGATTTTTCCGTACTTATCGAGAGTCCTTATTCTCCACCCAATCAGCTAAGATTTCAAATGTACTTTGCTTGATCGATGTAAGTTGGTTGGAGTGTTTGCCAGAAGTCTTACTTACAATAATGATCTATTTAGCTATTATCTATTATCCATAATTTTTTTTTAAATTATCTATTGTCTATTATCTACTAAGCACTTTAACTACTTTTCAATTTCTTGGAGTTTTCAATTCGTCGGAAATGTCGTTTTATCACATTTTATTTCTTCGTCAATTTCTTATCACTCGCCACCTTAGTTCTCTTTATTCTACAACTAATTTGTTTATAAACAAATAATTATAATTACGCTTAACTTATTATCTTTGTTGTTTTGCGGCGGGGGGGGACATGCTCGCAACTTTACCGCGACTACAACTCAGCGCTAATGACTTTTACGCTCACCAACGCTAATACATTATCATCATAATTACGCGTAGCCTCATCATCATCAACATTATCAGTGTGATCATTGGCTTGCTGGAAACTTGCATTTTGCTTTTTAAGCCAATGCAAGCCCGCCGTTGGCTTTCAGATACGTTTTTGAGTTTCAAGCGCAAACACAACAAACTTCTCTAAGCGTTTATTGAGTTGAGCGGCGGTGCTTACGCTATACTACGCTCACCGCAGTGCAAGCAGCAGCACAATAACAACAGAAACAATAAGGAATAAGAAATAGGAAAAAAGAGAAAAATACGAGGGATGACAGTAGTAGGAAAAGTGGAAAAAATACAACAGCAATTAAAAAAATTAACTCTGAGTAATAACAAAAACAACAACAACTACAGTAGTTAATTATCGTAACAACATCAGCAACAATTAAGTATCATCATCGCTTGCAATTGTAGTTTGCTGTAGGTAATTTGTGGCACATTTTGGGATTTTCTGTGATTTTTTTATTTGCTTTTGTTTTTGTTTTTGTTTTTGTTTTGAATACAAGACGTCTGCACTCAGTTTTTCGTGTATTTCCATAGTCAGTTGTGAGTGGAACGTTGCGCTTTTCGGTCGGTTTTTCGCTGTTTCGTTTGGAGAAAATTCATGTTGCATTTACCATCGGTTGTTATTGTTGTAATAAAAGCGTTAAAGAATCGGAGGAAAGAAAAACAAACAAAAATACATTCGTCAGCTAAAAAGCTGTAGCAGGCGTTGATCAAGTTAAATACAACAACAAACGCGTTAGCAAAGCTTGTCTTCCACAAACAAATACTCAGCACACGCACACCAGTGCCAAGCAACGCTAACGCTCGTGCTTACCAACGACGCAACCGCACATGTTCGTATTCGTATTAACACATATTTGTCGGTGTGGCTTTGTGTGTGTCTGTGAAAACTGTGCAAGACGCAAACTTTCGGTCTCGAGCGCTGTGAGCGCAATCGAACAACACAGAAACGGTCAGCGTCTGCTCGTGTTCGCACGCATGCGCAATACTTTCGCTTTTTCGCCAGTGTCGTGTTGTCGATTTTTTTCGCCGCTTTGGTAAAGTGTGTGCGCGCGCCTTCATATCCTGCCGGCTGTGCTGTTGTTGCTGTATATCCTTGGAACTTTTATAAGCGCTACGTGTGTTTGTAAGCGCGTGCGTTTGTGTGTCGGTTTTTGTGTGTCGAAGTTTTGTTGTTGCATGCAATTTAACTATCAACTTTTTACACCACGACTATGCCACAGCCTGCGTAATGCTGATTGGCGAACGGAACACATACAAATCCTATATAATCGGTTATAATCTTTTCGGCAAGACGTTTTCAGCGCTCATTAGCAGCGCTTGGCCTGTTGTTGTTTGTTTGTTGGTTGTTTAACGTATTTTATACCAAAAAAAAAAAAGTTATTGCATTTTTTTTTATCTTATTTAAATTTACTGCAATCTCTCCACTACGCGCGTTGCCATTCGTCGTTTCGTGTGTTCATTTTTGGGTGCCCATAACAACATTTCTCACTGCTCGTTTAGTTCGTATAAAAAATAACGAAAATAAGCAAAAAAAAAAAAAAACAAAATCACAAAGTGCCAAATATTAAAAAAAAATAAATTGAACGTAAGAATTTAATTAAAACAAGAAATATATATATTTTAATTTATTTAACAGTTAAAGATTTAAGTACAACACTACATACATATATATATACATAAGTCTACGTCTAAGCGCAAAACACGAACTGTACCTTAAGTAAATAAGAAAGTATCCTGTGAGTCGAGTGATTTGTGTAATTTTTACATTGGAAACTGGAACATTATTGTTTTCGAAACAGAAAAAGTAAATCAGTATAAAAGAGAAAAGTTGAAATGGCAAAGCAACGCCTACGAATCGGATTATTAATATGGTAAGTGGAAAAAATGTCTTTTCATAAATCATTATATGTAAATTAAGACCCCCAATTAGCTAATCTGCTGTGAGTAATTAAAAATGTGGAAATTAAAAAGTGTTTAAAATATTGTACTAAAATTATATTCATTTGTTTAAAATTATTTTATTTATTGCTTGCAATGATTAATAAAAAAATATATTATTACTTGCGGGAAATCTTTTATAATGGGAAATATATGAGAGTAAAAAAATAGTTTAATAAAGGTAACTAAGAAAGAAATTAATATTTAAAAAGTCCCCCAAAGGTAACCACGAAATAATAGTTAACTTGTGGGATTAAATAAATTAAAAAAAACAAGGAAAATTTATAATTTCCTTGCCAAAATTCAAAAATAGTAGTTAAAGTAGTACATCATTTTATTAATTTATTACAATCAAATTTATAATACTGCTGATCTTACACAAAAAAATTATTTTAAAAGTTATTTAAATACTAGTTTTTTAATAAAATTGTTTGTAATAAATTAGAATAAAAAAATCAATCCTTTAGGTAAAGTTTCAAAATTAGATAATTAAAAAAGTAGCTATTTTTTAAAATTTTTTTTTTTTTGAGAAAACAAAAATTTATACACCGCACGGACATTTATTATAACGTGCAGTATTAAATAATTTATTTAAGAAGAAAAAATTATGTGAAAATATTTATTGTCTGATTTTAAGTAATAAAAAATTATTTTAATGATAAATTCAAATATTTAAAATACAACAAAAATTGAAATATAAACAGAAAGCCTTCTTAAATATTTTAAAACCATTTTATTTCAAAAATCCGTGAAGCCAGTAAAATTAAATATTAATTTAAAAAATTCAAAAAATTTAAAAATTTTAGAGTGAATCCTCATCATTTTTTGGTTAAAGAACTTTGAATCTGTTAAAATAATTTAATTAATAAAATTTTCTTTTAATTTCAAGGGCAATTCAAAAAGATATTGAAATAAGGAGAGTATTTTACATATTTTTTAACTCTCAGTAAAATTAATTAATAGCACTTTATTACATAAAATGTAGAATTTTGAGCTTCAAATAACATGAATTTTAAATATACAGTATACAAATGAAATAGTTTAAATTTATTATTTTTTTATATTAAATAGAATTAAATTAAAAAATCGATTTTACAGTATATTAACAAAACAAACAGTTTTTAAATATCTGAATGAAAGGATTTACATTTATTCGCTAAAATTTTTTTTAAAGCTTAATTCATCAATTAGCAGATTAAGGTCTCATCTCAGAGAGAGCATATTTATGAAAAAATATATATTTTTAAAATCAATTATATTTAAAAGTTTTTGTACAATAATCTTTTTTAATTCCAATATATAATTAGCTAAATGTTGATTCAAAATTTATTTTTAATAACATAATCTTTTAAAAAGTCATATAGTTGTTTGATGATTTTCTTTTTGATACACATAAAATTAATTTTTTTATTCTTTTTGTTTTATTTTATTTCCCTTTTTTGCTCATCACATATTTTGTTTTACAAAATCATACAAAAATTAAAGAAATAAAAAAAATTGATTTAATTGATTGTAAGGTTGCGTCCATTTAATTTCTTTTCGATTTAAAATGTCATTCAAAAAAGTACTTTTAAAATTAATTTAAACGTACGAACGTCAAACTTTTAGATGCAAATTATAACTTTCATACGGTTTGGCCATTTTCCATACGAAAAAGAATATACTATATATAGTAAATAGTCGTAAAATTATTTTAGATTTCATTTTTCATTTTAGGTTCTGTTTCATTAAAAGTAAGAAATAAATTAAATTTAAAACTTTGAGACTTTTTATAGACAAACTTTAAATTTTTCACAAATTTATTAAAAATTTGTTTAAAAAAATACAAATAATTAAAAATAAGATTTTCTTAAATTTTGTCAAAAAAATCCATCTTTTTAACTGCATTATTTAAAAAATACAAGATATTAATAATTACTCTGAAATTTTTATTTATAAGATGACTGTATTTAAAAAATTTTTGATTATGGTAATTTTTCTTTAAGTAAATTAATATTTTATCTATTAATTTATAACGTAATAAATCTCGGAGTATACATAAACTTTAACTTAAAGCTTCTACGTATTTAGAAAAAAAAACATATTTTCAATATACTTGAATTTCAAGGAAAAAAATTTTGCTTGAAAAGTAAGTAATCTAAAGTAGGCAATTCATCATTATAGGCAGAATTTTTCAAAAACAACATATCTAACAAACATATATAAGATTATATAAAATTTTCTTGTATATTGTTATTAGCTTTTTCCATGTCCATGTTACGCCATACTCTATCGTAGCCACTTCCCCATTGATATCAGAGTTACTTTATAAGTAATTTCTAATACAAAAATTTCCCTCCGTCATTGAGAGATAAAGTCGTGAGTTTGTTTTGGTTACCCCCTTTGATTTTGATAAGCGTGGATTTTACGAGTAAAATCCGGAATTTCATTAAGATGAATCATTTAATTCTTGCGACTTACTTCTAATTATTATCGTTTTAATGATATTAAAAATGTTATTATGAAATTATGGGAAATGTGCATATAATGACATACAAATAAATTTGCAAAAATAAATTAGCAAAACGAAAATGTGAACGAAAAGCTACGTTTTTGCTGGTGGAAGAATTACCAAATTTTTTTTAAATAAAATTCTATTTTACTTTACATAGTTAAAAATCTGCTTTCTATACACTTTGCTTCTCAGAAATGTTTGAATAATATTAAAATTGTATATAAATATGATGTCATATCTGCCGAAAAAGGTTTTTTGTAAAGCCATACAATTTGTTTAGGTCCAACAAAAAAGTATCAGAAATTATCTCTTTTCCCCAACATGTACATGAATTTATTTCACACACAATTTGTCTGCGCGCAATTTTGTACAAAAAAAAAACCAGTGGGAAGATAAAATCATTAAAAAGTTCACAAAATTAATGAAATGAAATACAAGTTACTGAAAAAAATAAAAAAAAATATAAATAAACTCTTTGACAAGCGTTGGCAAGAGTTTAAGAAAAGTTAAATAAATACGGCATTAAAATTCAAATTAAGAACATAATTAAATTTGCGACGCTTCTGCTTAACTTAAACAATTTGCCAAGCACAAGGACACATACATTATGTGGGTATTAAGTGGATGCAAAAGATATGAGCAAAAACACAAACAAAAAACATTAAAACTAAAAAACGCACAGAGCACAAGACAATAAAAGAGTTTATATTAAAAGAGAATTAAGTGCTTTAGGCATCAACATATTTCTAGTATATATGTATACATACATACGAGTGTGTTATAAAAGTTCTCCAATTTATGTTCAGTCTATGGCATGATTGAGCATACATAAAATAATTAAATTTATGTTTATGTTCACATTTTATTTACCAATTGCTAACATGTTTAGTGACATAGGAAATCGTTAAATAATTATCCAACTAATTTACTTAAAGCAACTATTTTTCAAATCACCTTGATATCTGAGTGCTTTGAAGAATTGCGGAAAATGCAAATAATTTGTCGTATTAAAAGATGCTATGCAAATGTACTAAAATTTGCAAGTCAGATGACAGTTTGGGCGGCGAAATAACATTTATTTAAAACGAAAACAAATTTAATTACGCACGCTCTTTTTACGATTCTTCCATACACAAAATTGTGTCTAATGGTCGAAAGTGGGTCAAGGAGTCTTAAAATTATTCTAAAATTGTTGAATATACTCAGCCAAGAAAAGTAAAGTAAATTAAAATAAATAAAAGGATATGAAACAAAATGCAATGAAATCAAATAAAAAGTATAAAATAGGAATAAACAAAAATTAATTTAAAATAAATTGAATTAAGTAATATCAGTCATTATAAATACATAATTAAAATAACATAAAATATTATGAAAAAATTAAACAAACTGAAATGAAATAAAATAAAATAAATAAAAAAAAAGAGACAAAAGAAATGTTAAAAAAAATAAACAAATATAAATTATATTTATAATAAACAAAAAAAAACATAATAACATAAAGTAAAAAAAAATAAAACATAAATTAAATGAAATAAAAAATTAAATGAATGAAAACACCCTGAAGAAAATAATATACAATAAAATAAAACAAAATAAAATATATTAAATTAATAATATAACCTAAAAAAAATTAAAATAAAACAAAACAAAAACTAAAAATTTAAACGAAAAAAAGTAAAATAAAAAACGTTACACAAATTTTAATAAAATAAAGCAAAGTAAACAAAAAGTAAAATAATAAGAAAAAAATAAAAGGCTGAAAAACAAAATAATGAAATAAAATAGTAAGAACAAATGGGAGTATACAAAAGTAAAATAAAATTCTATTAAAATAAATTAGCATTAAAAAATAAAAAAGAAAAAATAAAGTAAATAAAGAAAAAACAAAATATAGGAAAAATTAAACAAATATAAATAATAATTACAATAAATTAAAATAAAACAAAATAAGTTAACGCAAAAAAAAATTAAATTAAATAAAATGAATTTAGAAAAATTGAAAAAATAAAATAAATTAAAAGGCCCACCAGAAAGTAATACAATATAAAATAACATAAATTAATAATGTACTGTAAAAAACTAGTATATGAGAAAACAAAAACAAAAAATTTAAATGAAATAAAGTAAAATAAATATAATTTAATTAAATTAAATGAATTTGAATTAAATAAAAAAATAAAACCAATTAAAAGACCCAACAGAAAATAGCATGAAATATAATAAAATTAAATATATTTATAATATAACATAAAAAAGTTAATATATGATAAAACAAAAATAAAAAATTTAAACGTAATAATGTAAAATTAAGAAAATAATTTTATTAAAATTAAGTAAACAAAATGAAAATAAATTATAAATTAAATAAATACAAAACAAACTAATATGACATAAATTCAAATAAGCATAAGCTTAACTGAAAGAATAATAGAAAAT